CTTGTGAGGTTATTATAGGACAAGATATAATAATAAATTAGCTGACTACATTAGACTTACAATAAATATGATAGGCATGAAGTCACATAGACTTGGGTTTGGATGAACAACATGCAGAATCTAATGTCTCTGAATCTGATTGAAATAAATAAATCCATGTAGTAGTAAGTAACTAGTCAGATGCCTTATGCCCTTGTTTAGTAAAAGATTTAGTGCTACAATTCTATTTGTCTGACCTAAAGAAGGAGATTCAGGGTCCAAAATTAATTAACCAGAAGTCCTAGTGTTCAATTTCTGTTGATTCCAGTTGGATTCCTGTTGATTCCGGCCGGAATCTAGGGATTCCGCAGATTCCAGTAGGAATCAGTGGAGGAATGGAAAGTATTGTAAAACTTGAGATATTGATACACCCTCTGGTACTTACAGAGACTATGCTCCAGAGTTATAATGTTGTACTTGATCGCCTTGTGTTCGTCTTTTGTGAGGTCCTTCAACATGTGTCTATCCAGATCCACAAATGCCTTTGAATCGCGTTGGCATTGGAGTACAACGGAATGCCGAGTTTCAAAAGTGCCCTTTCTCCTCCTAGTTTCAGTTTTGCTACAAGGTAGCCCCATTCCTATGCAGACGGCATCGGATATGCACCAGCCAGCATGAGATCCCCTATTATTAGAAGAGCTGTCAATGGTCCGATGTTCGGGAATTCCTTTGAACAGAGGAAATGATGAAGATCACGGGCAGATGGATTGTCTTCAATTTTTCTAGAAAGAGATGGAGCAGCATCCTAGTATTCTTCCATGTATATTGTGTTTCGGTATACGTTAGCCATCTTGTATGCTTGGCGGTTCACAAAGAACCGTTCGGTAGGACCAGTGTGGAGACGCTTTTGTCTCTCCGACATTTCAGAAGCAACGTCTTTCTTTTGCCTAGCCTTGGCCTCCCTTCGTTCTCTCACTTGCCTCTTGTATTCCACCGTATCAGTGGTGCCTTTTTCTTGTTCGACAGACGCATGGTACTCTGCCCACTCATTCAACAAGTCAAAGAAATGAAGCGATTGTTTTGCGTATTCAGAACCGTAAAATACAGCACAAAACGCTATAGCGTTGAACAAACCTGCTTGGGTGAGAAGTTGCCGAGGTTCGGAGTATATGGTTTCCATCGCTTTTTGCATAGTCAGTGCACATTGATGGAAGGGCAGTAAAAAGTCCAGGTTTGATGACACAATTTCCACCGTTGGATCTGAGACGGTCGTATCACGTCCATTGGCCAAGGGCATAAGAAGACGCATGTATGCACAAAAGATAGCCATTCCTTCTTCTGCTGCCGTCTTTTCTGTTGGTACGTGGACATTTGATGTATTTGGGCTTGTCTGATTGGACGTCAAGGGCTCGGGGTCACTGACATCCTGGAAAGGTGGATGCTGTGATTTGTGTTTCGGTGAGTTTGATAATTGAAAGTTGACGTATGTTCACTAGTACCTGATTTTCTGTGTTCTGGTTCGCATAAATTCCTATTTCAGCTTGGCATTGAAATAAGTTGAACTTCTCCATCAGTCTCTGAAGACACGCATGCTGTTGACTGCCGATGTCCGATATCGGATGAGCAATGAGCCTTTCCTTGAACCCGGCGAATATTGTTTCCATGCGCATCCCCTTGGTCCGTCTTTGACCGCCACGTAGTAATTCCTTGGCAGGATTCTGGAAAACGTTCCATACCTCCTTGAGTAACCGTTGCAACGTTGCCGCAAGCGTTCAGGAACGGTATAGGTATATCGTCTTCCACTGTTTCTTGCTTGTCATATTCGCCCGTATGCCGGGGGTTGTATACCTGTTCAATGTTAGGGAATAATCGAAGGCGGGTCGTAGATTCTTTAGGTGGTATGAAATTATCGTCTGTGTCGTCGGAGTCTTCCGCTGATGATTGGCTATCAAGATCCATGTCTTCTGTAATTTGTGGGTATATTACGTTGATGCATATGAACAACAAGGTGCTGCATATTTCATACCTGCAGTTCGCGAGCTGCCCGACACTCCTGTTTTATTAGTTTGATTGTGTGTGCTATGCCGAGTGTGCAATGTATATGTTGTTTCTTTAGGCATCAGAGTCAGCTAGTGTCTCCAATCTCGAAGGATTAATCATCGTTCTCACTCTCATTTCCTTTGTTATGGTCACGTTTTGCCTTGAGCTTTGACATATACACATTGATATCTAGACCTATGGGATTCGAAGATGCTGTTTCCGAATTGCCTTCGGCAAGGGCTGAAGGAAGTTAGTACTAGATTTGGATGTCAAGACAACCTTTTCTACCAGTGACTGTTGTGTGTTCATCTTCATGGGTTGAAACATTGTCCGTTGTGAGGTCTACTGGTTTCTTTCAGCTCCTCGATGCTTCACTAGTAGCTGCCATTTACATCATGTAAAACCTGGCATGTACCATAGAAGTTCCTGCTTAGCTACCGTGAATGAAATGAAATGAATTTTCATTCATTCATGGCAACTGTTTCATTCCAAGTCATTCTAATCTATTGCTGTGGAGAATGAAATACTTTTTGTTTCATTTCATTTCATTTCAATTTTTTCTTCATTTCTACTGACAAGAATGAAATTTATTCTGTTTCATTTATTCCTGGCGACTGTTTCATTTTTTTAATTTCATTCCACCATGGCAACTGTTTCATTTTTTGCTTTATTCTTCTGTTTCATTCATTCCTGGTGACTGTTTCATTTTTTTTTTTCATTCATTGCCATGGAATTTTCATTTCATTCTTTCCAGGCAGTTATTTCATTTTTGTTTCATTCTTTCAGGCAACAATTTCGATGTTTTAATACACATCTAAATAAGGAAATAATATACAATTATGCCTGATATGTGTTGTGCCCTACTGCAGTGGTGTGGGAGGCCATATGGGGGTATTTTTGCATTTGAGGCTCAAATACACAACAAGATAGGCATGCTGTTGCCAAATAAGGCACTTAAATATTCTGTATCAATTACATAATCATTTTCCCAGCTCTAACAATGAAATAGGCACCTGAGAAGAATGAAGCAAGGAATGAAACAGTTGCCATGGTGGAATGAAATAAAAAAATGAAACAGTCGCCAGGAATGAATGAAACAGAAGAAATTATCTAGAATGAAACAGGTGCCGTGAATGAATGAAAATTCATTTCATTTCATTCATGGTAGCTAGGCAGGAACTTCTATGGTACAGCTCAGGAGTACATGATGTAAGTGGTAGCTACCAGTCCACGCTTTGACCCAAATATTATCAGTTTTGTTCAGTCTTATAGTCATTGTGCCTTAACATACTCCTTGGCTTTTTTGTCAGCGGCCCCTGAATATCATCGTCTGCTTCTAATGAACGCTTTCCTGCTTGACATTAGTGACGTATATCACAATTTGTATCATTCCTACCGACCTTTTCTCTTGTTTTGAGACGATCCTTGATTGTGTTTCATCTTCTGAGATGACGCTCCTTCCGCTATGTAACAATTGAGCTTTATAAGCATACAAGTCCACGCGCCTCACTTTTTTTACCCATC